GAACTGGAGTTACAGAGGATTGCTAGCTACCACATGGGTGCTAGGAATCAAATCTGGGTCCTCTGCAAGAGCAGTCAGTGCTCTTAACTGCTGAGCCATCTCTCCAGTCTATTTAATCTAATCTTAATGAACCAATGATATTTTTGGCAGGCAGAACAAAGACCTGGGAAACATGAATATGTCATTGATAGCCCATTTAATTTCATAATCAGAATGAAGAATCTAAGAAAAATGAGATGTTTCAGAAGCTTACAACAAAAGGCAGTCTTACATCTTGACTGTCTTACAAAGTGGATTAGAGAGTAGGAGAGACTCCAGAAAAATCAACCACAAAGTAATGGGCAAATGTAAGAAGGTTGGTATAGTTATTGAATCTACTATATAGCACTCTCATTTGGTGAACTCACATCAGAAATATATAATGTTTTACTTTATCTCAGAACTACAATATAGAAGTTACAATTAAAAACAAAAACGTTTGGCATGGAAAAGAATCAAAAGGCTAAGAGTAGACTGTGAAGGAACAGTCATGTACTGCATAACAGCTAAGGATGGACCACAGATATCATGGTGGTCTCAGAGGTTATAATAGAGCTGAAAGCATCCTTTCATCCATTAATGTTGCAACTGTTATACTGAATCACAACACATCACTTACATTTGTGGTGACACTGGTGTAATACCTAACTATTGCCAATTGAACAAAAGAGGGGTTCTATGTGTTGCCCAGCTAGTTCAGTTAGTAGAGCATGAGATTCTTAATAAAAGCACATCTATGCATTCTGTGGTTTCACATAATGACAAAATCATCTAATAATGCATTTCTCAGAATATTCCTGCATCATTAAGTGATACAGGATTGCAGATCACAAAGTCATAACATCAGAATTGCTCTGAAGTGTGATTCTGCTGATGTCCGATCAGGACTGAACTGATACTAAATGGTTTTTCACATTTATCACATTTAAAGGGTTTCTCCCCAGTTTGAATTCTCTGATGCTGAGTAAGATGAGTGCTCTGGCTAAAAGCTTTATCACATTCATTGCATTCATTTTTTTGCCAGTATGAATTTATTGATATTTGATAAGGGATGAATTTTCAGTGAAGCCCTTCCCACATTCACTGCATATGTAGATTTTTTCCCCAGTGTGAACTCTTTGATGTTGCTTAAAGGCTGACTGAGCAGTGAATGCTTTCCCATATTAATTACATTTATAGGGGTTTTGCTCAGTATGAGTACCCTTATGTTGAGTCAGGTGTGTACTCTCTCTGAATGCTTTCCCACAATCACAGCATTGACAGGGCTTCAGTCTAATGTGAATTTTCTAATCTTGTGTGAGGTAGAAGACATCAGTAAAGGACTTCCCACAATAAGTACAGTCATGGGGTATCTCTCCACTATGAACCCTCCAATATTGAATAAAGGGTGAGTAGTCACTGAAGGCTTCTTTGCATCCATTACACTTATAAGATCTCTTGCATGAATTGATATTGAATAAGAGGATTTAAAGTGAGTTCTTTTCCACGCACATTCCACTTGTTGGGTGCTCTCCAGAATGAGTCCTCTTGTGCCCAGTAGGAGATGCACTCTGGCTAAAAGTTTATCAGCAATCATTACATAAGGCGTATCTCCAGTATGAATCTTCTCAAGACAAAATTTGAACTGTCATTTAAATTTTTTCCACATTCACTACACTTATGTTTTCATTTTACATTTTATATTTGTTTTCCTTTTAATTGGAGATAAGTTCCATTTGATATTTTTTCCCAAAGTGATCAAATACATATGGTTCCTGCCCAGAGTGCCGCAGAATACAGTTGGTCTGAAATGAAATTTTCTCTCAAGTTTATTAAAATTAAGACTACTTTCCTCAAAAGGTATTTTCTTATAGGAAACTATCACTTGCTAAAGTGATCATGGTAAGAGAACGTTCTGAAATTTTGTCTATAGTATTTCCTCTTTGTTGTTTTACCTGGGCAGTATAGTCATAAATTCTTCAAATAAATATCCTTGGGACACACCTAGAGTGAACATTTTCAGCATGAGTGATTGATGATTCATCACTCAGCATTTTCATGAGTGAGTATCCATTAAAAATGCATTCTAATAACCTTCTCCTTGAAATCCTCTCTGGTCTTTAAATATGAAAGTAGTAAAAAAAACACAAAACACATTTTCTGAATGAGGATAAGGAAAATACAACCAGAAAAAAAATCAAGGAAACTTGCTGAAATTAATGCATATTATAATAAAGGGCTGTCAGGTGGAAAAATAATGAGACAGCAGAGCACAGGCAGACGTTGTGGAGAAGAGGCTGACCCAGTAGGTAATAGCACATTCTTTTTTTTTTTTTTTCATCTTTAGCCCCAGCTGACCTGGAACTTGCTATGTAGACCAGATTGGCCTCAATCTCACAGAGATCCACCTGCCTCTGTTGGGATTGATGACATGTACCACCACACCTGGCTAATACCACACTATTAAGGGTGGAAAAAAAGTCTCAAAGATGAAGACGTTCAATGTCCTAATTTCAGAAATGAAGCTTAGAATCAGAGTGGTTATGAGTAACCAAAAGACACAGACTATTTTTTAAATATTTTATTTAATTTTTATTTTATGTGTATGGTGTATTGCCTGCATGTGTGTGAATGCACTGGTGTCATGCAATGCCACGGAGGTCAGAAGAGGGCTACAGATTCCCCTGGAACTGGAGTTAAGGATGGTTCATAGCTGCCATGTGGGTGCTGGAAATTGAACCCAGGTCCTCTGCAAGAACAGTCAGTGCTCTTAAACACTGAACCATCTCTTCAGCCCTGACACAGACTATATTAATCGAGGGTGAGAACTAGACTCCAGGTTTTATGTAAAACTAAACTAAAATTCAGTCCTGTAATCTAGAGTCTAAGCAGTTTAACCTGCTCTGCAGAGCTCTAGTTACCTTGGTAATCTTTGGCTATCAGGACTATCCAGACTTAAAAAAAAAAACCTTCATGCTTTTCTGTTTTCATTTAGGTATATGTTTAAAAATTGTAAGAGAGTTGCATGGAGACCATTACAGCTCCAAATTAGATGCAGAAGCAGAGGATAATTTGAAGTTGAGAGAAAGGAAGCAAGAAAGCTGAAGGTGCAAGGTGAAGAGACTGCTGCCAGTAACTAGGATGAAGAATAGAGAGGGCCAAGCTAGAAAACGCAGGGGCACTTTGCCGAAAAGAAAAGGGGCCTAGAACCTTAAAATTAGGCCGTGCTCAATATTTGTATAGCCCTAAACCTAACCCTAACGCTAAAAGTAACCCTAACCCTAACACTAACCACTAAACACTAACCTGAACCCTAACAACCCTAACCCCAACACTAGCTTTAAACCTGACCCTAAGCCTAACCCCTAACCCTAACCTCTAGCCCTAACTCTAACCCCAACCCTAACCCTAAACCCTACTCTAACCCTAACCTTAACCCTAACTCCTAACCCTAACCCCTAACTCTAACCCAAACCTCCTAGCCCTAACCCTAACTATAACCCTAACCCCTAACCCTAACCCTAACCCTTACCCTAACCCAAACGTATCTTAACCCTAACCCTAAACTATCCCTAACCCTGACACTTAACCTAACCTTATCCCTAACCCTAACCCTAACCCGGACCCTAACCCTAATCCAGCAGCAAAGTAATGAAGTTCTGTAGAAACTTTGCTTATTGTCGTTATTTCATCTAATTTTCTGGACTTGGAAACCATCACGTCCATTTTTTGGTGTTTTGAGGAGCGGGTTTATCAGAAAACCAGCTTTCTTGCTTCCTGATGCTACAGTAGACTGTGAGCTACAGAGAGAGAATATTATCCTGAGCATAGTTTAGGGCAAGGATTGCTCTTCCAAAGTTGAAGAGAGCCCCGAAAACCAAACAACGTCTTTCTACAGTGAGCTACCAGACGGAAGGGTGGTTAAAAGCAAAAAAGATTTCCTCTGTACTTTTATGCAAAATTAAGGGTTTGGGAGTTGGAGGTAGTACAAATGTATCAAAATTCTGCTTTAGGAGCTACTTAATCGCAATGAAACAGCACCCGAGTTCTCTCCATTGAGCAAGAAACCAGGAATAGCCAACACTGGTAACAATCCCAAATCAGGAAATAAAACATGATTCCTGGGGTTCCATTCCAATTTTCCAATCTGAGGGAAAAGCACAAGAAGGAACACCCAGTTTGACTCACGTGGATCACAACAGTACTGAAAAAGGGCAGGATCCCAAGGGAGCTGGAATAGGGAAATAAAGTAAAAACCTCCACCATGAACCCCCAACCCAAACTCTTCTAGCTGACAAGGCTGACAGTAAAAGGTCCCTAGCCCTGCACAATTCTCTCCAGGGCAAAAAAACTCTTCAGATAAAGAAGGCTGCAGCATAAATAACTTAGGGAAGGAAGCGAGGCCCAGGAAGAGGTGAGACTTTAATTACCTATGAAAGACAGATACATGAAGTTCATATCACTCAAAGTAACCACAAATGCGGCGAAAACTACAGTACCCACAATACACCACCCCGACATATGTGCTTGCCCGGATTGGCCAGAAATCAGCCGCTCAGATGGGTCTGGAGGCTAAAAACAAGAAAAGGTAATTTTGAAACGTTTCGTTCCGTTTAGCTGTTAGGGTTAAGGATGGCTTTCGATGCTTCTGTTACATTCTGGAGACTGTTCCGGGCCTCCAGGTCAAGAAAAAGAAAATGTGACGAAAGTGCTTTCCGAAAGTCGAAAATATCAATGGACTTTCGAGTCACGTGGTGCACACAATGCCCTCAACGAAGTCCCGCGGGGTTCTTCTGACTTTTAAAATCGGGTGTAGTGAGGTTTTGAGACCTCCATAAGGGGTGTAATTTTCCATCCCTTTAATTTCTGCTCTCTGCCCCTGCTGGAGGACCGCGGGATCGAGAATAGCTATAAGCCCTCGGTTTTCTGCCTCTTTAGACAGGGCTTCCGCCCGGATCCAACATGGCTGCCGGGCGGACTTCCTAACCTCCCAGGGTTTGGCGGCGTCTGACGTCAGAGCTGGTGGTGGGTGGAGCGGTTAAGAAACCGCCGATGCGGGCACTGAGGATCTGGAGTCAGCCATGGACTGGAAAGAAGCGCTTCGCCGGCGGTTGGCGACGCCCGACACAAATCCAAAGAGTGAGTTTGGGAGGAACCGCCCGCAGGTAGGGGTGGCAGGGTCCGAGGGGAGCAGGAGCAAGTGGGAGCCGGGCTTCTGCTCTGTGAAACTTCCAACAAAGGAGCGGTGGAATGTGTGTTTCAGCGATCCAGCAAGGGTCAACCCAAACTTCCCTAGGAAATTATTTGCGGGAACGAAAAGCTTAACCATCGCACCGGATTTGCATGGTCTTGTGAGCAATAACCGAGAATCTTGGTTCCAACAAATCTCCGATTCCACCAGGATCGTATGCATCCCATCGCCTTTCTTATTTTTTTAAATTAATTTATTTATTTTGAGACAATTTTTCTTGCCGTGTAGCCCAAGCTGGTCTTCGATTCCACACCCTCCTTGCCCCACACTCCCGAGTGCCCACTGCCCTTTTACTGTCACTTCACTTACCACCAGTTTTGATCTCGTTAATCCACTTTACATTGTTCTTTCCCTCTCTTTCACAATTGCATGCTAATCAGCCTGGTTAAATCTTTCCAGTTCCAGACCACACTCAGGCAGCTGAAATTGGCTAGAGAAAAACAGAACCGGGGTGCGTTTTTCTTGTAATCTAGGTCCACCGAGACACGTAGGTGTTCTAGTCACGTCTACCTTAGATATTCACGTCCTCCCTTAATTTTGCTCATCTTCTCAGACCTCTAGTCTATTCCATTCACTGTTTACCTTCAACTGATGAGCTTGTTTTTAAATATATATCTCAGTGAGGAAGTAGAAACAGTTAAGAGAACCTTACTTGTTTCCCTTACCATTTCTCTCAGGCCCTAGACAAGTAAGTGTCCTTGCACTCTACCCTCACTGCTACAGTGAATTGTCCATTGGTCCTAGTACAGTCCTCAGCACTAGGCTTGCATTCCCTTTCATTTGTTCACTGGCTTCCCTCCAGCCTTCCCATCTCTCATACATTATCAAGTTTTCCTTCTCTATTGGATCGTTTCTGTTAACACTGACAAACACATAATACTACATCTTTAAGTCATTTGTTCCCACATTCCTTCAACTTTTGCTACATTTTTCTGCACCTTTTATAGGCATACTTACAGATTCAGGGGTGTGAAGGAAATTATCTAGGTTATATGGATAATATTAATAGTGCCTGTGTAGAGAATAAAAGAGTACAGAGTGTGTGTCCCTTGACAGGACTCCCATATTAAACCTCACCCACCCATGGCTCAAGGACCATTTCAGAAAAGGGGGCAGAAAGAGCCAGGGTTGGTGCATGATCATAAGAAAACAGTCTTCCAGGCCTCTGGGATCTTGCTCATGAACTTATGGCAATGGTGACAGCATGTACAAGACCCATGCAAACTCAACCAGACAAAAACCCAACATAGAACTGAGGAAATGGGCAGAAGGCCCCAACCTTAGGTGAGGAACTATTGCTGATCACTGCTGGGTGAGGGAGAGTTGATTTTTTAAAAAATGTTATTTATTTATAATTTATGTGTATGTGTCTATCGCCTGCATGTAACTAAGTGCACCTGTGTCATACAGTGCCTTTGGAGGTCAGAAGAGGCTGTCAAATCCCCTGGGACTGGAGTTATGGACAGTTGTTAGCTGCCATGTGGGTGCTGGGATTTGAACCTGGGTCTTCTGCAAGAACAACTGGTGCTTCTAACCACTGAAGCCATCTCTCCAGCCCGAGAGCTGATCTTCTTTAAGGGAGCGATTCTAGGGTGTGGTGGCACACCTTTAGTCCCAGCACTCAGGAGACAGAGGCAGGCAGATCTGTGTGCGTCCAAGGCCAGCCTGGTCTACATAGTGAGTTCTAGGCCAGCTGGGGCTACACGCAGTCTCAGACAAACACCCAGTACAGAAGTAGGGAAATGGGTAGGAAGCCCCAACCTTAGCTGAGGAACTACTGGCAGCTGAATGCTGCTGGGTGAGGGAGAGTTGGTTTTCTTTAAGGAAGTGGTGCTAGACAGGTTGACGAGGTGCCAGTGGTTGAACTCACAACGAGGGTCATCTGAGGACACAAACTTGACTTGGTAGGCCTTGATATATATGACAGAATGTACAAAATCCATCCTGGGGTTATGAGGGGATGAAGACCGGTGGGGAGGAGTCTAAATACGATTAAGATGTGTGAAATGCACAAAAATTTAATTAAAAAATATACATTGAAAAACTATTAATAGCTCCTACTTAATGAGGATGTGTACAGGATCCCTGTACCTGACCTCTTTTTGCCTTCTCAAGGATATCCCTTGTCTATCATCAGGCTTTCTTAATCACTTTCATTAGCATATAAACATGCTGGTATTTTTCCCATTAAAGAAACTTTCTCAGGCTAGGCACATACCTGTTGTCTCAGCACTCAGGAGACAGGCAGGAAGATCAATGCAAGTTCAATGCTAGACTAGTCTGAATAGTGAGTTCCAGGTCAGCCAGGGCTATATAGATCAGACCCTGTCTACAAAAAAA